GACTTAGGATGGAAAGACCACAGAGCTATCTGAGGTTTGTCGCTCTTACAAAAAAAACAAACAAACAAACAAACAAAAAAAAGCTTAATTTAAATATAATTGACACACAAACTATACACATAAAAAGAGTATACGGTGTGATGCATCTTGCACATATTTATGAAATCTTTACCGCAATCGAGATTATGAAGCTATCGGCCACCCCTAATATAAATCCGTGCTCTGTAATAACATTGTCCTCTCCCATCCCTCCCCCGAAAACCATTAATCTGCTCTGTCAATATAGATAAGTTTGCATTTCCTAGGTTTTTATACAAATGGAATCAAACAATAATGTTTCTTGTTTGACTTCCCTTAATCAGCATAATTATTTTGAAATTCATTCCAATTATTACATGTATTGTGCTTGGCTTTTTTAGTTTTAAAAATGACTGAAATAACTTGCATTATAGCCTTATATAAGTTTCAGGTGTGAATCATTATCAATTAACAGCCGTATGTACTACAGAAAGTTCATGAGCAGAAATCCAGTTCTATCCTTCACCATACAGTTGGACCGTTTTATACAGCACCCACCTGCTTTCTCCTTCTTTTTGGTAACCACTGATTTGGTCTTCAGTCTGAAAGGTTAATTTCATTTTAGTTCCTTTGTTGCTTTATGTGCCACATATGAATGAGACCTGTGGTATTTGTCTCTCTAGTAACTTATTTCACTAAGCTTAATATTCTCATGTCCATCATAGTTTTGTAACTGACAGGGTTTCATTTCATTCATTTATTTTGTAGCTGAGTACTATTCTGGGTATATCACATCTTTTTATTTTTTTAATTCAATCATCTGCCAATGAACATTTATTTATAGTTCTTGGTTATCGTAAATACTTCTGTATTAAATATGAGGGCTCATATCGCCTCAAATTACTGTTTTTATATTTGGGGGGGGGGTAAATACCCAGAAGTGAGAGAACTGCTTTATATGAATTTTTAATTTTTTGAGGACTCTCCATGCTGCTTTCCATACTGGCTGTACCAGTGCACAAGGCATGAACAGTGGTTTGAAAGCCTTAATACTTCAGACTTATGCTTGTACAACCTTATTTTTAGGAACCCAAACAAGTCCTCTTGGACAGGTTTTATTGAATGTGCTTGGAGGAAATTGGCAGGCTCAGGGATTACAAGCTGACAAGAGATTATTGTAATAGTGGTAAACCCAATTAAATGTACTGTCTCTAAGTGTCTTATACTGTCTCTATACTGTCTCTATACTGTCTTATACTTATGTTTTCATTTGGAGGGCAGAAAGTCATCTTGGGGTATTGAAAAGAATTTTCTAAGGAGTATTTCCTTCTCAAACCATTGTCATTGTTTAAAATGGGTACACTGTCCTCTAATGTAAATTTTGCCTGGTTCAGAAGGTGAATTTTCGCAGCATATATTTTCTGAGTACCTACTTTGTACCACATCTCTTAGAAAATGGATGGATAGTGATCAACAAGTCAGATGAAATTCCTGCTCTCAGTGGTGACTTTTCTATGAAATTCTCTTTTCCCTTGAATTCTGTTATCATCTGCATTTGACTTATTACTTGCATCATCAAACCATTTCTTTCTTATTGGTCTTGGTCTTCTTGCGTAGCTTCTGCCCTCTATTATCATTAATTATGTGTGGATAATTATATATGAAAAAAATCCTATTCTTATGACCTCATAATAAAATAGAGAAAGTAAATAAAAATTTCAGGTAATAATACAAAGTATAGTTTCATTATGGTAGTCAGGAGAACACTTTAAGGTCACATTTACACAGAAAACCGAAAGAAGAGAGTTAAACATGCAATCTAGGGAAAAATCTTCCAAGTGGAGAGGATCTTGACATGCTTGAAAATCAACAAGATCTAGCCTCATCCTCCCCTTTTCTTTGAGCTCTCATTGCCCCAAGCTTGCAGTGACCAAACGCTCATATAAGCATCTGTGATCCATTTAGCATTGAAGATATATTTTGTTATAATTCTAGATATCTTCAAGGAAGTTGAGATGCTTGAATTCTACTTATAACACAGCTCCTTCAGGCCTACTATGCCTTGTCTTAAAATCAAAAATTGTCCTTTTATGTAACAAGCAGCATTCAATAAATGCTCAAGAGCCCTGATTTTGATGTAATATCTATGCTGCTGTCATGTTTCAAGGAGCATATCAATTCTTGATATGGATAGAAAAGGGCAAAAGGTAATAAGTGTTTCTAGCTACTTAAAAAAATATACCCAGTGAATATATGCTAGGTTTAATTTCCTTAAATTTGTAATGATAGGAAAATGTAAAAGTGCTCATAATTTATTGAAACAAACCACTTTTCTTTTTTTAAATAATAATAGTTTATTTTTACATCATTTTGTAATTTTTTGGTCTCAATTGTAATCCCCATGGGTTTCCTATCTCCAAGTCACCCGTGTGCCATCACCATAGTACCATGTACGCCCCCCTCACCCCGTTTTTGATCCCATTCCCCACTCTACCCCCACAAAATGTCTCTGGTAGATGGCTGTTCATTATTCTTATTATTTTCTTGCCTGGCCCATTATCCTGCTATGAGCGAAACCATCCGGTATTTTTCTTTCTCTTTCTGGCTTATCTCACTAAGCATGATCTTTTCCAGCTCCATCCAAGTTGCTGCAAAAGACATGTGTTTCTCTTTTTTGGTTGCTGAGTAATATTCCATTGTATATATGTACCACATCTTTTTAATCCATTCATCTACTTTTGGGCATTTGGGCTGCTTCCATGTTTTTTCCAATTGTAAATAAAGCAGCAATAAACATGGGAGTGCAGGTATCTTTTTGAATCAGTGTTTTTGTGTCTTTTGGGTAGATACCTAGGTGTGGGATTGCTGGGTCGTAGGGAAGCTCCATTTAAGCAGAACAAACCACCTTTTTTAATTGAAGTTGTAATTAAAATGCTTCACCTTTTGTCATAGACTTACAATTCAGTCTTTCTTGGGTTAAAATAATGCCAAAATCATCACTGCTGCTTATAATCAGTCTTTTCTTTTGTCATATAATAATATCTCAAGAGAATAGTCTAAGGTCCATGCTAATATTTTCCTACAAACTTGTTGTTTTCTCTGGGCTGAGATGGTGCACTGACAAACATTATTCATGAGGTACATTACTGTGACACTGGAATCCTAATAGTGCTTGTAACATTTCATGGTTTTAAGAAAATGATCCAACTTTGGAGATAAGCTCTAAGTGAATGTCAACATGATGTTTGAAACTGAAGAAGGTAAAACATCTGTACTTCGCCATTTTTAAAGTATTGATCAAATACTATCAGCCTGGAAGTAAGAAGAGTGTAATTTTGATTTCATCCTGAGTTAGAATAATTAGACTATTCTTATCTTGTTTTAGTTGTGCATTTACCAAAGAAACAACCAAGTAGTTTCATTTGCTTTTTTGAAAAGGTACTATGTTATCATAGACCAACACTGGTATTATTTTTTTTTTTTTTGAAGACTTTATTCATTTATGTATACAGAACTGGGGTACAAGCCAGAGGTGCTGGGGAGGTGAGATAATAACATCTTTCCTACATATCTTTACAACTTTCAGTTGCCTAGATCATTGTCTGTTTTTCAACAATTGGCTAGGCAGAATTAAGAATTATTACAATATGTAGTTCAAATGGATCTATCAGATATTACAAGGGGGTGATGATTTTATGTAATAAATTAACTTCATCATCTGGGGCTGTGAGAAAGTGTTAAGAATGTTTATAGTCGCTGATCACTTAATAAAGGTAGGTAGAGATAAATTAAGAGTAAATTCAAACAGGCTGAATAGCTAATAGGAAGTTTGCTACTTTGGGAATGAGGACTAATGATTACTCACTGAATGACAACTATCAGGCAAGTAGTTTTTTCCCATTTTTTCATGAGAATTTGGTTGAGAAAAGGTTAAGCAATTTGTTCATGATCTTCTAACATCCCAGAAGTGGAATTTAAAAACTAGAACTGTCCAAGAAAGTCACTTTCTATACCAGTAGTTTTCAAATCAAGTTTGCTTCAGAATACCAGATTCCTAGAGGGGCTCTTGAGATATATGTGCTATGGCCCAGAATCCATACTTAAGAAATAAGCCCACTAGCTCCAAAACTGCCACTCAAGAAAACCAGAAGCCATTTATCTTTACAGTACATTAGCGCCCATTTGCTTTTATCTGACTATAACCACATAGTACTCAGCTACTATAGTCCTAGATTTCTTACCCAAGAGGCTATGATATAAAGTATTCCAAGAGTATTTTTATAAATGCAGAGGATTCAATAAATTTGAAGGAAAACACTACAAGATGTATCCTCTCATAGTGGCTGTAGTGGTGTTACTGGGACTTTCAGATTGTTTCTGCTGTAAAAACTGCCACATCCCTTGTTGGCTTTGAGCAGGATGGGGGGGGGGGTGCTGGTGCTGGACCCCACTGCAGTCACAGGCATGGCAGTGATCATTATTGATGGTAGAATGACCCTTATAATAAACATTAAATTATATTTAAAAAAAAAATTTTCTTCACATTCAGCATCAACAGAACAAAAGCTACCTTGTAAAACAGTCCTCCTAGAGTCTTAGTACACATCAGCTGTAATGTTAAGTCCTCTGACACTATCCTCAGAGCCCAAATGGCAGATCTTGCAGCATGAGTCTGTGGAGGAGGCATGTGACTGAATGTTAGGGCCCTCAAGTATTAGTAACAGCCCAGTCACTACTTAGCTATATTATCTTGGGAATATATACCTATAAAATGAGGGGACAGACTAATAATCTTTAAGGACCCTATATGCTGGGGCATTCTATGATTTTAAGAAATCTTTGGCAATTTGCAAGTCTAGATAACTGCCTTTTTAGATACTTTCCTGACCTTTTTCATAACAGAAAAAATTTACTCAAAAATAGGTACCTGAAATAGAAATCTAAAGTAGTGTTAGGATATAGTCAAACCAAACACACAGATATAATAAGTGATCAATTAAGAAACATTTATTCTTTCGCACATGAAAATGAAATTGTAAACAAAAAACTAAGAAATATCACCTCATAAAATAATCTGCTAAATTACCATGACTTTGAGATTTTAGCAAAGATAATTATTAAAGGCCCTTAGAACGTTTGCAATTCCACAATTCCAAGACATTCTTGCCATTTTACATGTCCAGATGAAGGCCTTCACCTTTTTTTTTTTTTCTTTAAAATTTTCCTTTGTATTTTCGGGTCATTTCTCATTACAGAAGAAAACTTTAGCATACAATTACAGAAATAGGAGATTTAAAGCAACTTCCAGATACATTTACACTGAAATATACAAATAAAATAACTGTTGCATGAGGAAACACTTACTCACAGTCTCAATTTCCTCAGTTTATAAAAAAGAATATGAACCAAGTAGCATTTATCTTAAAAGGTAACCTAATTAATTTTGCCACTAGAGACATGAACAACACTTGCAACATTTACACAATACTATTTTCAAAGAAGGCTTTTGACTTTTAAGAATGAAAATTCTCAATAACAAACTTGAGATACACTGCTTAGCCCAGTGGTATCAACTATGTCAAAAAGTAACCACACACAATTCCCTTACCTGCAGCATGAAAAGTGAAATTAGAAAATTTTAAGGCAGGAAAAAAAAATTCAACCCATTTATAAATTATTGAGGTCCAAAGAACATGTTTCCAATTGAACAAAAGATCTCAATTATTCAAAGTAAGACATTGACTTACTTTGTACATAAATTCCTTTTCCTGCTCCTGATTTCTAATTCTGGGAATGCCATGTTGCACCTTCTGTGTGGCACACTGGTGCATTAGACATGGTCCCAGTGTTGGGCCAGCAGATGTTTACCAGCTACTTCCTACGGTTAAGAGGTCCCTTACTTAAAGCAGTTGCCAATTTCTATGTATAAATACTCCTACTATGGCAGATTTCAACCTACCAACAGTTTCATAACTGGTTCACAAATTTCCTGAAATTAACAATCATCTCTGTGAGTCAGCTCTAACATAAAACACTGTATGATCCCCACCCTGAAGTAGCTCAAAATCTCTTCATAGGTACGTATTTTAGAGGACAGAATTGAGATAAAATGGAAATAATTCCATAATATTTTTTGTAAGAAGTGTTAAAAATTAAAAAGGAATGTTGAAATCTGGAATTTTCCAACTTGTTGACTATTTTGCTTTTGCTTAAATTTATTTCATGAAATTAAAATGTATATGTGAGGTGAAATAAAGAGTTAACAGAATGAGAAGGAAAAGAAGACATCCTAAGATACATTCCAACAGTTGTGTTTATATTAGAAGAAAATACCCACTAAGTGCAAATATAATGTAACTTTAAAAATTCTGTCTTCTTTAAGGCCTTTCAATTCGGTCATAAATCCTGAAGATTTGTCTTTTCTGTTCTCTTTGGCTGCAGCTTGGATGAGATTAGCTTCTTTTGCATACTACTGAAGAGCACATAGCTTCACACCACTTGCACTATCAGCTCACAGTAAAAGGCAGAACTAAGTTCTGGAGACTGAAAACGGGACTTCCTTTGCGCAGCAGTCACCCCCTCATCTACATCAGATCTTAGGCATGGGCCGACTGGGGTGGCCAGGAAACTCTTCTGGTAGCAAAACATGGAGCCTGCAGGTTGGACATGTCCCCTGTTGCATCAACCAAGGTCTAATGCACTTAAAGAACAAAAAGATCCACATCAGACTCTCAGATTTAAATTAGCAGATAAAACAATGACTCTGTAACAGGGTTGCCAACATATCTTGGGGTAGATTTTATAGATTTATCTGGTGGGTGGCCAAGCCACCTGCTGCAGTCATGGCACTACCTCTGTGACTGGCTGAGCAATGGATAATCAGTCACAATAGAGCAGTAGATTCTAGTAGGGTCCTTCTCCCCAACCTCAGTTTTCAGGATGGATGAAGAGCTGTTCTTTCTAACTAAGGAAACCTTTATTTTTCTCTCATTTATTATTATATTCATTTTTAACTCAGAAAAAGTCACAACTGAACATACAGAAGTTAACAACACCTTTTATAAAATGCTTATGATATATTCTGAAGTTAAAATGATGGCTATTCTTTCAGATTGCTCTTTCTTTGGTGACATTGTTCATTTTCGTTGGCCATTAAACTATCTGTTAAGTCATTTGCATTAATACTAACTCTCCCAAAACAAATAACTTTTACCTGGATGAACAATGGAGAGTCAAGACAGATAGGAAGGATTAAGAATAGGATTAAGAATAAATGAGTCCCACTAACTAACTCATAATGAATAAATTATCTGCTTTATATTCAATGGCCAAGCACAAAGGATAAAATACGTTCGTGAAACATTTTCTAAAAGGAAAGGACTGTAAAAACTTCAAAGTCAGGTGGCTAAATATCTTTCCTGAAGATCTTTTGGGATTAGCCATTGTGTATAAATCTTTTCATATCAAAGCGGATGCAAAATTTAATCCTGTACCAGGTATAACATATCTTTGAAATGGTGCTTAAGGATATGGTTTGAATGAGCTGGCTATTGTTCATTTCCATTAAAAGCCTTTATGGTATAAGATTATCTTTTCCTTGTCACATTGTATCTGCCACAGAAGACTTAGATGATAAATTATATCTTAATAGCCTTTGAACAATAGCAACACCAGGAGTTTCTCTATATGCCAAAAATCAACCTTAAATATGTCAGCCTTGCATGAGCGTCTTGAAAAGCAAGTATATAGGAGCCTGAAGAGAGAAAGGTAGTATGATGCTTTATAATGGATAAGGAGCATTCATTAGGTACAAACAAAGGATACTATGTGCTATTTATAGCAAATTTAGGTGAAGCAGCACTGTTGTTAAGCCACCACTGAACTGGAGGAATTAACATTCCTCCCAGTTCTATTCAAGGGAGCTACCTACTTGGTACCAGTAAATTTTACTGTTGTCCCCATCTGCTGTAAAGTGTCTGGAGATTTGAGAGAGCACAGTGCAATTTGTGGCTAGGTATGGAGAAACTGGAATAAATGTCTCTGTGTGGTACCCAAAAGTCCTGAGTAATACCCAATAGAACACATGTAGCAGTGGATGATGATACATGCATATGATTTCAAGTAGTAGAAGTCTCAGTTGATTAATAGTAAATATTAAAAAGGCAAGTTTAACTAATTTAAAAGGAAGCTTGCATTTTCATGTCTATTGCAGCACTATTTATAATAGCTAAATTATGGTTATTAAATGCCCAAACACAGATCAATGGATCAAGAGGATGGATCAAAGGGATATTTATCAAAAAAGATAAATGCATCTGATGTGCAGCAACATGGATGGAGTTGAAAGGGATCATGCTAAATGAAGTAAGTCAGAAAGATAAAGATAAATACCACATAATGTCACAGATAAGTGGAATACAGACAAACCAATCTAAGGGTCAGAAACCAACCCTTGAAAGCTGACTACAGAACTGAAGCATCCAGAGGGGGTAGGGGGAGGAATGGAAAGAACTAAAAAGGGAAGGAAGCCACGGACTATGGTGGTGGACACTTCTGGGGACAATATCTGACGGGGGTACCCTAATATTACTTTCATTAAAAATAAATTAATTAAAAATGAAATAAAACATTAGATTCAATGAGTTACCTGAGAGTGAAATTTATGAGCACAAGGCAAAACCGACAGGTTTTCTGGAGAGAGGTTTTCATGACAGATCACACAAGGTTCCTCTTCCTCATCCTCATCCTAGAGAAAAAACACAAAAGGTTAAATTCAGCTCCCTTTTTTCCTCCCCAAGTTTAATGCATTTAGAACCTGCAATTCCAATCTCACCAAATTATTGGCTCCTTTCCATGTAGCAGGACTTTGTGAAGTGAGGGGCCTCCAGGCTTGTTTGGGGGTCTGGGCAGCATTAGGCTGTGGTAGAGTAAGGCTGGGTGAAACATTATTACCACCATTTGGCACTGATTTTCCTTGATTCTAAAAATAAAAATATTACACTCTTTTTAAGAATTGCTCTAAAATAAGAAGTACTGGGGCCTCCCTGGTGGCACAAGGGGTTAAGTCCCAGCATTATCAAGTTATCAGCAGCCACTGCAGCACGAGTTCGCTCCCCGCCAGGGAGGTGACCCACGTGCAGCAGCAGACCTCTCCTGTCTTTACTTGCTGCTCCCTTTATCCATGTCAACTTGATAAGTTTATCAAGTTGTTCAGCAGATCTGACTGTTCTGTTCCCCACTCTGTCTCTTGTGAATACTCTCACCCCAGCACCTCTGGCCACACCTCAGTTCTTGCATGCATAAATAACTGAAAATAAATCTTTGAAAAATAATAATAAAATAAGAAGAACTGAGAATAGCACCTAATAGGGTACAGTGAGCATTAGCAAAAGGGTAAAGGTCAATCAGATTCCTGAGAAATCTTTTTATAAGTATTAAATTATTTTTATGGAGGTTCATTGATTTTTAACACTGTTTTAGAGGTATAGATTTACATCTCTTCAGATATATTACTACACGATGCTCACCAAGAGAATCTTAGAAGTTGACTATATAATATATATATATATATTCAGAGCTATTTAAGAACAGAAGTCTATACACTCTAAATTAAAACAAGTCTTTGCAAACATTAGTAAAAAAGTCTCCCTTTGGAGTCATTTAAGGTAACCCAGAGTATCTTTCAAGAGGATCAGTTTTATTCTAGAATGACCAGCTATAAAGTATTTCAAAAAGTATTTCCAATAATCACTTGTCAAGTTGAATTGTTTATTACTAAACAATGATTTAAAATGAACTGTTATAAATACAATCACAAAATCTAACTGCTAGAAATAATATTTTATGAAGAGAGACTTTTTACTTTTTTACCTGAGCTCTCTTAGGGTCAATAAGCTGAGAAATCTTGTAAACAATTTCATCAAATGTCAGTCCAGATAAAGATTTCCCATGAGTATCCTTCAGTTGTCTTAAGAAATCTGTAAGTTCCTTTCTGGAAGAGATCAAGGAAAGAATTTCCCTACTGTCTTAAGGACACACCCTCCAAACAAGATAAAAAATCCTATCATATGAATAAAACATAAACACTGATATAAACATGACCCTTTAGCTGTTTGATATTAAAAATGATCACAGATCAATTTCATTTACCTTAAATCAGATTGAAAACAAATACGTTCTTGAATGATACTGTGTTCATGAATTTAAAATTTTAGTACTTACTCTCCAAAAGGTCTTTTAAATTAAGTTTGCTATCTACTTACATTCTGAGCTGTTTATACCATACCTTTTATACCTTTCCACCTTTTAAAACTCTCTAGCAGGACCAAAATAATCCCTTTTACTGCTGGTTAACTATTAGTGTTAACAGTTTTAGGCTAGGGAAGGATGAAGTAATTTTCTTTTTCCAAATTAAGTGGAATGTCACCAGTCTTATAAAATAACCTTTGATTTACTATTTATTGACTGACTTTATTCATTATGCATACTCATTTGTTCATTTTATTTATTATATATACTCATTTTATACACACTCTAGTTACAACTGTGTTACAGGTCTATTTATAAAATGATAACCTAGTCCTAGAGTTTAACAGTATGTACATCAAGTAAAAATGTTCATCTTCAAATGAAAATACTAGGAAACACTAGAATTATTTTCTTGAATATAAAAGTACAGATAAAATAAACTTGTTTTCTGGAGAAGTATTAAATGCTAATGTCAGAATTTTGGAAAGCACAGTAAAATCAGTTCTTCACTGTGCTCTGTAACAAAGAAATTAGAAGGACCCTCCATAAATTAAGAAAGCAGAAAGCAAAATCTGATGATATGTGGGTTTATACAATCAACATAACCTTCTCCCAGAGTGAGTTTTAACATAATTATTGCAGCTGGTAGCATAATAATTGGATAGGTTGACAACGAGCAAATGAGCAAAGCTAAATGTAAAAATTAGGTTTGTTCTCTCATGACTTAAGACTAATGATTTTAATGAAGAGGTTTAGGTTAGAGTCATATTAAATACTACTCCTTCTTGAAAAATTCCCTTGCTAAGGACATACCTGTACTTTTGTGTGCATTACACTTATCTGAAATGTTTTGGTACTGAAATGAGGCACTGTAGGATATGACCGGTACTCACCACGAAATAAAAACAAAGGTACCTGGTCCGTTGTGGAAAGGCAGTTTTCAGTTTGTCTACAATCCTCTCCCATGTCCCTGTGGGCTCACTTCCCAGACTTGCATTGGGGGGAACAGCCTCTCCCACAGGTGCTGGGACAGTCCAGGCGATGCCAGTCACCTGTGGGGGCAGAGACTTGTAACCCATCAGCTTCCGTCATTAGGAAGTAACATTCGATGCAGCATGACATTTCGATACTTCAGAAAATGGGACAGATGAAGAATATTCACATACATGTTTCCTTTTAAGAGTTTTTTTTTAAACTAGCACAACGATATTTCTGATTTTTCTAATTTGTTTATTTTAAAAATGGGACATGCTGCTCTTATGGACATGCTACAGCAAATATGGAAAGAAATATTTAGTTGATGCTTATTGCAGTGAAAAGATGAAAACCTCAAGTCTGTTAACAGGGAATAAATAAAAAGTCATCACATTATCTAATTAATCGATAATAGATCTATATGTCTGCGCATAAGTGATGTCCATAGAATATAATTCATTAAAGAACAAATCAAGATTGTGACACAGTCTTTATAGTATGGTCATTTAAAATTTTTAAATGTGTATGCATAGAAAAAGGCCTGTAAGTTGAGCAGTCTGTAAGCAGTGATTTTATAGTGATTTAGTGATACAGTGATATAGTGATTTTATCCTTCACTCGAAGGGTAATTTGACTTTTTTCTTGATTGATGTCTATTATATACTTTGTATATTTCTATATTACTCACATTTTTATGATTTGCATATACTATTTTTTATGATTAGAAAAACAGTTAACTTGAATTTTCAAACAGCTAAATAAAGATGACTATTCTTCTAGACTGCCTCCTCAGCACTGTTACAGTGATGTTCAAGTTATAGTGACACCTCAAAGGCATCAACATTGCCTCCATATCTTATAGTAGCTCCTTTTTAGAACCATTAAGATTTTAGTTAATGGTAAGTGAGTATTTTTGGTGTTCTAATTGATCACTTAAGATAATTAAAAACATGGAGCTTTTTCTATTGCTCTGCAGGTTATTTTCAAATATCAGGTTATTATACATGAAAAATTTACTACTAACCACTGGATAATTTATGCAAATCTAGTGAGTCAGAAAAGGGGCAAAATACTGCCCAGAAATCTGGGTTTGCTTCCGTATCAAGTTTTTCTCTGAGAATCAGAAAGTAATCTTAGAAGGTTGAGGGGCTTTAATGTTTTCAATTAAACTTTATTATAGATGCTTATAGAATGGTGTGGGGATAAACCCTGTGAGCAACATGGTGACAGTATGGTGATAAACATGCGGTGCTTAGTTAATAACATAGCCACATATATTTGTTTGCAGAGGCAACCTTTCACAAAAATAAGCAGAGTCCACCTAACCATATATTTAAAAAGGAACTGTAAGCAATATATAGTTACAAACACAAACAACTGACTAGAATCTACTTGTGGAACAGTCAGGATTAGGGATTTATTCCAATTGATGTATTTAGTGTCACTCTTCTATGAGATGTTTGTTTTAATAAAAAGTTTAGTTTATATTACATTTGATAATTTTAGTTATTTAAATTATTCAGGTTTGGATAAGTTTACTGGCTATTTGTAAGTAGGAAGAATTGTGTTTTCCAGTATATGGTCCAAAGTGATATTATTTACATTGTTTTTAGATAAAATTGAAACACTGTTCTACACATACATATGTATGTATAAATAAATTTTTTCTTTGTCTTTGGCATAATTTTGTTCCTTGTTATTTTGCTTCTTTTAAGTCTATTTAAGTGTCATGCTAAATACAAATTATCTTTTAAAATTTCAGTCTTATTTTGCTTTGTTGCTTGTTTTTGGAGCAAAACTGTATTTGTAAGTGTTCTCTCCTAAAAATACTGATTTTTATATCACAAAACATAAATAATATCAGTTAATTAAATAATAAGCACATTTAATACTGTGCCTCACATGGAACTGATTCATTCTCATCACCACCACTGTCACCACGATCATCACTGATCAAATCAATGAACAAAGAGAAAATATTTATTTCAGAAGTCTACTGTGGTGATAACTGGTTAATGTTTATTCCACCAAAAAGTGTTCTGTACCAGGGGGGCTCGAGGTTGGCCAGTAGCAGAGATGACTCCTGGGCAAACAGCAGACATTTGAGGAACACTGAGTATGGGTCTATAGAAGGATTCTTTCACCAGAGGTCTTCCCAAGAACTGCTGCATCTATAACAGGAAATGTAAAATCTAAAGACAAAACCCTACACATTTATATACCTACAGAGGCAATGATCTAAACTTACAGAGCAATGTTCAGGGGAAATTGATTTAAAAATCTAGACACAAAGTATATCAGTTAAATATAAGAACATTTGGAAAAGCAAAAGGCAATGAAATACACTAAGGGACACTGAACGGCACAAGAGAACTGGCTTCTATTTCCGCTTTCTCTCCAACTAGCTGAGTAACCTGGGTTACTAATGCCAAGGGTTATCAGTAAACTAAGAGGATGAGGCTAGTGGTCTTTAAGGCCCCTCCCAACTGCAGTAATACAGGACCATTCAAAGGAGCTCCTAAGTGCATAATGCCATGTTTAGTCAGAAGATCCACTAAAAAACCAGAGTTGTCTATGGAAAATACTACATACTCTGGACTTGGGTTCTTATACTTCTTGATGGAATTCTGACTTCAATTCCAAGAGAGTAGAAAGATAAAATGGAGAGGGCCTGTGAGAAAAATTTTCCTAGTGTCTTGTAGACATGTTTCTGAATGTAACTGCATTTTTCATAAGGTTGTAGAAAGCTAGTCCTTCTTACCATCTCCGGTAGGATGGAAACCTCATGGGCTGAACTACAAATGAGGACAGATTTCTTGAGTATTTACCATATGTTAGAGCACTAGCAAAAAGCAGTTCAACTACTAGATGAATTTTAAAAATAAACATCAACACAGCTCTTAAGTAATGACCTGAAAACCACATGAAAGACTAACAGGTAACTTCATAATGGATAATCAGGCTGACAATCAACTTTAACATCACTAATGGAGAGACATCATGTGCCTTCTGTACAAATAATGTACTCTTGCCAAAAATACTGAACCTTATTCTAAACAACTTTCTGGATCTAATGATCAATTTATAGGCAATAGAAGAACATACAAAATGACACTGCAAGCATATAATAAGTTAAATCAATAATGTGGGACAGTGAATGAAATAGATGAAATGGGGTTTAATTTTTTTTATGACCAAAAAAAAAGGGCATGAAACAGTTAACCCATGGAAGGGGGCATGGTAACTGTTACAGATATAAAGGGAAAAAATTAGCCTAACGCAAAGTATAAACCTCACTTGTATTGTTTTAAAAACAAGGGTTTTAAAAATAAGGTAATTATAACCACGCTGGAAATATTACTGAGGTAGGTAAGAAAAAGACATATTTAAGACAATTGGGAAAACATAAGTTTTTAATGATACTAGATATTAAAAACTATACTTTCTTAGTAACAAAATGTAACTACATCTAACAATAAAAATTCTCATCTTAGGAATACATGATAAAGCACAAATAGATGAAATTATATACCTAGGGTTTCTTTTAAAATCTTCCTGTAGGAAGAAAATAGGGGATTCTAAAATGCTGACAGTGTTAAATTTGACTCTCAGTATAGAGAAGATTGTCAGGAGAATATATTACCTCTTTAGGTATCAAATGCATCCCTAAACTCCAGTGGTCCTATGAATTGATATCAACTGAGCCAGTCAACTAGTTATATCATCTGGAGACGATCTGGAGAGGAATGTTTAGGAATACATACAAGTGGTATGTATAAATGCCTATTCTATTTTGAAAACACATTAAACATAATACATATTTAGTGTTTCACGATCTTTATCACTCTATCAAGACAAAGATGGAACTTTTTTCACCATTTCACTTTTCTTACCAGCATGTCAGGATTGGGTGGTGGTGGAGGAAGCTGGATTGGAGGCAAGGTACTCAAGGCAAACCCTTGCTTCACCTTGTTAATTTGTTCATTGTACTGTGTCTGGTAGAGGAGAGACAATATTTCAGAGCAAAAGCAACGTCGCAGAAATTAAGAGATCTTAATGTAGTTTTGAAAAATACAGCATAGAATGGCTGGGTCAGAATTTTAAAAATATTTGACTCAAAGACAATTCTATGGACCATTATTCCTATGTCTGTACATAGTTGTATTTTTAGAAGTATCTGTTGACAATTAAGATACAGAGACATATAGTTCACAGATCGTTGTGAAAACTCATCAGTGTTGCCAAAATTTTTAGCTCCAATTGGGAATTACTATTATAATGTGAACAGAGTATAAAGAATTAAGAAGCTATAGATAATATACTGGCTGATAAATATGGGGAAAAGGTATTTGTAACAAAGAGTTAAACTATTTGCAAATGTTCATTTTAGGGAATATGTTACATATTTACATTTTGCTTAACTCAAAAGTTATAAGTTATACCACTAGTGCTCTCTAATTCCATATATACCTTTGTTTCATTCTCTTGGATTTTGCCAAATGTAGACTGCATTCACTAAAGCTTAACAATATGCTTTCAACATTTTTTGGCATTGTCCCCAACATGCTTTACCACATTATTCTATAAGCAATCTACAAAGCTGGAAAAGAAATTCTTAAGAAACACAACATTTGTCTTAAAGACTCCTGCACAGAGGACGTATGCTTGTGAAAAAGTAAGGGTAGGGAACATGGGCAGCTTGTTGACGTCAGAATTTTGAATAAACTCAGCAGAAATGGTGAAGCATTGTTAAAGATGAAGTATAAAGAGACCAGGAGAGAAACAGTGAAGATAGCTAATAAAAATGCTCAACAGGTAGTGTTTTGAGGCAGCTATTCACAATTGTATGTCATTGTTTCGTGGGCAGTATTGTGAAATCAAAAAAAACAAAAAACAATCAACAAATGTCACCTCTAAGGTAAATACATTCTAAAATCAAATGAATAAGTATTCAGTAGGTTACCTTTTTAGACTACCTTGACATTGTCCCAAATCTATTAAGCTAATAGATATAATTACATAAAAAGTTAAGACTGAAAGTGATACAGGCCTATTTGACCTATTATTACTTCTGTAACATGTAATAACTTGCACAAGACGTTGTTTCTGGTTGGAGCAGTATTAGCTTTGGAATTAGGTGTGAGATGAATTTTAAGTTTATCACTTATTGTACTTATAACTTAAAACAACACGTGTGAGTCTAGAATGCTATCCATAACCAACTACCTAGAAGTAATATCAAACATTAAGAAGGCACACAATAACCTAAAATGAATTAATGTTCCTAAATTTCTCTAGTAGCTCTAGTTTTTAATGTTAGATGTTTTAATTATATGTACCTATAACTTTCAAGTCATTCTAAATATATTTCATGACTTACCTTGAGGAATGCAATCTTGTTTCTAACATCTGTCACAATGGTATTCCAACTGTCCACTGCAGCCTTTAATTGAAGTGATTCTAAGTTACTGGTGGAGAAAAGGAGACATAAGAGAAGTTATTTCTTTTTATATACCACTTAGGTCTCTAAAAATTTGTTATATTTTCTAGTGGATATGTTAAAAACAACAAAATTATCTTTGTCACCAACAATTACCTCAACTGGGCACAAAGTTATAATGAAGGGTTTGTTAAAAATAAAAAGTAGAAATATATAAGATTAATATTCTCAGGAGCAAATACAACTTCTGCTGGCAGAACACCAAGTTTTTCCTATTCTGACAATAATTTTTGGGACACATTCTAAAACCCTTACACTGAAGTAGAAAGGCAGAGAAGACCAAAAAGGGGAATTTGCCCTAATCAGCTAATGCAGGAACATCTCAAAGATGTTGACTTATCTTGAAAAACAGGATTTGGACTGTCTTCACATTAACCCTTATGTGGCAGTGGCCAGCCTATCAGACTCTTCCACAAATTAAAAAAAAAAAAAGAAATCAAAAACTTGCCTTTGGGAAAGCAAATCAGAAAGAAATACCTTTTTAATGAGAATGAATTAGGTTTTTGCTTCTATGCAGTGAATAAATTGCACAAATATAGCAACTGTCAAATATGCTCACCAAATGAATGAAGTATAGCTTTGAAGTATTTAGGTTCTGCTAATTCTAGAAATTTCATGTGACATTTCAGAAGGCTTGATATCAGTTAGAACATCCTTAAAGTAGTAATATCCAGCATAATCGCTTTTGAAGAGTAAACCAAGTTATCACTGAGATCATCTCTTACAATGAGGCTTGATAATAATATAATTTACATAGTGTCTTTTCTCCTTTGTAAGCAAATATAGACTGATCTCTTACAAAAGTGTATCTCCAAACTGAATGCACATCAGTATGTCCTTGGAATCTTGCTAAATATTAGAGAATCTGATTCTAGAGAATTAAAGATCAGTGTGATGATCATCATTAAAAAAATAATGCACTGTGCTTTTGCAGCAACATTGATGGAGCTGGAAAAGATCATGCTTACTGAAATAAACCAGAAAAAAAAGGAAAAAATACCAGATGGTTTCACTCATAGCAGGAGTATAATAGACCAGGCAAGAAAATAATAATAATGAACAGCTATATGCCAGAGATATTTTATGGGGGGTGAAATGGGGAATGGGATCAAAAGCAGTGAGGGGAGGGAAATGCACTGGACTACGGTGATGGCATACGGATGATACGGTGATGGAAAGTCCACAGGGACTACAACTGAGATGGAAAAATGCACAAAATGATGTAAAAATAAACTATTATATATCATTTAAAAAATAATGCACTGAGGGCTTTCTCTGGTGGCACAATAGGTTCAAGTACCACATTATGAAGCTCTCCGAAGCCACTGCAGCACAAGTTCAATCCCTGGCCAGGGAGCTGACTCACATGGCGCAGCAGACTTCTCCTGACCCTCTCGCTGCTCCCCTCAGCAGTGTAATTTGTCAGTCTGCCTGTTCTGCTTTCCACTCTGTCTCTGGTGGATCCTCTTACCTACCATACCTCTGGCCTGTACCCCAGTTCTGTACGCATTAGTAAATAAGTCTTTGCCTAATGTTTGAAAATCACTCATGATAGTATAGCAGAAAATTGCTTTTAACATGATTTGAGGTGTTAATACTAATTTTTCCTTCATTATACTCCAAAGACATTTAAAATTTAACACTAGAAAGAGAAAACAATTAGAAAAAAGTTTTCCAATTAGAATTTACCTGTTTTGTAAATATCTAGTTTTACGCAAGTTTGAGAATTTTGATCTATTTCACTGCAGAAAGAAAAAATCTATTCTGCACTCTTAGACTTTTCAGTGTTTCAGCAGACAACAAAGTGAAAGCATCAAAGTGATTAAATGATCTCTGAGATTTAAAAAACAAGGGCTTTTCACTCCAAAGACTCTGATGTCATTATGCAAATCATATCACGGATTATGCCTCGCCTTGGAGCTCTTGGCATCAGGACACATTAAGGAAGACGGGAAGGTTACCTTGCTGCCATGTGAGTCACCCTCGCAAGCTGACTGAGGCATTCCTTTTCAGTCTGTTCTAGATGCAGCAAACCAAAATCTCTACGGCACTGTAAGAAATACACCTACAGAAATTTGAGAGAAAGAAAAGGAAGTTGAGGTCCTTATAAAATTTTTTTTCAATAATTTCAAGTAAACTTTAAGCTATTTTCAGTCTCTCCAAGCAGCATTTGAATTTCATGACCCTTTGTGATCCATTATAAACACATTTTGATCTATTTTTTAAAAAAATATTTATTTGTACATACAGAACTGGGGTACAGGCCAGAAGCTCAGGGGCGGTGAGAGGCTTCACCAGAGACAGAGTGGGGAGCAGAACAGGCAGATCGACGAAGTACACTGCTGAGGGGAGCAGCGGGCGGGTCAGGAGAGGTCTGCCGCACCATGGGTCACCTCCGGGGCAGGCAGGGATCGAACTCATGCGGAAGCGGCCTTAGATTCTCAGTGCTGTGCTTTAACCCGCTGCGCCACCAGGGAGGGCCCTGATCTATTTTTTTTTAATCAATTGTTTATTAATATACTCTTGAATAAATCAAGTCTATTTTTTATTCAGTGGTAACCAGGTTGGTAAATATTCTGGCACATTAGTTTTCAAACATACACATAAATGGAATTATATCAGTAACTTAAAGTAGGATGTCTTCATCTCAGAAAATTCTAATTTAATTAATAACCAGGCGTGGTCTGGGTTTGGGATTTTTTAAAAGTTATCAGGGAGATTCTAGTACACGGTAGAATCTAGTGATAATTAAGAAAAGTCTTATTTAGTTATAATTAATAAAGGGATAAGAAAACACAGCTTTTCCTTGATTACATTGTTACGTCTCCCAAAACCCATTAAGTTGGAAAGTAACGAAAGCTGAAAATGCTGATTAAGTTGCAGCTCACTGCCACTGCCTAGAATCAGGAGAGACATCGCACACAGTGTCTACCAAGTGCATATTACTGCCATACTCCTGTGAGGCCAGAGTCAGGGGTGGTCTGTAGACAGACCACATAGTCCTGGTGGGATCTGGAGGTTACCTAACTAATGTGTCTACCATTCTGTACCATAATTGTTACAGAATTTTCTGGAATAGCACTGTGATTCTAAAATTAAACTGGAAGTATAAAGAAGGCTTCTTACTAAAAGCAGTAAAAAACATACAAAAGTTGAGTTCTGAAAGTAATCAGAACTTCTTTTGCAAAGCTAACATTCCAACATGTTAGTTTCCAAAGATTTTGGGTTCCAGTATCACTAGTTGACTGTTTACTTAATTCCTTAGTAATTCCTAAATTTCTGTGCTAAGAATGGAGCTTACTCATACAGAGGTGGTAAGGTTTATAATGCTTTTAATATCGGTGTATTGTTCAAAAGTTTGACTCTTACTACATATCAAGTTAGGTTACCTATAATAAAAATGATGTAAACATACTTCTTTTTATAGACCATAATTGTAGTGTTCTAAAGCTTAGTTAGAAGAAACTGGGTAACTTTTTATAGGTCTAGAGGAAAAGTTTGTTCTTGACACTGGAATGTATAATGTACATGCACTTTTTGAAAGATCTTCGTAAAAAGTATCAAAGAAAGGAGACATGGCAACCGAAAATATTATTCTTTAGACCTCTGGTTTCATAAGACTTTCCCCTAGATGTCTGTACTTGCTACATATGAGCAAACTGAATTCTATATGCCATTTTTGGGGAAACAACATAAGATCCTTAACACTGAGGTAGTCACATACAAAATGCCAAGTAGTGGGGGGGAAAAAAATGAATTTGAACTGTCCTAAGATGTTTTCTTTGTTTCAAAAGATAGTATTTTCTCCATTTCTTCAGTAATCGTGAAAACTTCCCACCCAAACCCCAATTCCCTTTTCTTGTCTTATTTTTTTCTTTACCTCTGCTGTTAAAGCTCTGCTAGTTTCTGCATTCAATTTGTTTAAGTATGTTTTAATTGTGCTTTCCAGATTATGCTTCTCTATTTCCCACTGAGATCTGAAATATATGATCATTAAATAGTCAGTAAATTGCAACAAGGACAGACTTTCACCTTATTTAGGAAGCTGAAAGATAAAAACCTACCCAATGAGTAGATAATTCTATGGAAAAGTATACAGTACATAAAATCAAGAGAAGACATTACTTTAAAAACCAGAAAGGTTTTTAATGGATTGTTAGAGTTAAGTTGCCACCTTAAAATATTGTGCTTGTTATCTTGGCGACGACATGCAATACCTAGGAATAAAAATAAATTGTGAGGGGGGGAGAAAGATGAAAACATTATTTAAGACACAAATTATGGAAAATGGCTACCTGTGAGATTTCCCTTTTTTTAATCCTATTTCAGGTTCTCACACTTGGCCCCCATGCCTCTAAAACAGGCAAACCAAATAATGTCTTTTGTCGAAGTAATGAATTGAGAATATAATATTGTTACAAGGACTTTATAAAAGCTACCCTCAATGTTTTATTATTTAGAAGCATCTGGATACTTAATGGCCAAACATTGATGTAAAGCTTGAAAAAGCAGTATATATTAAAACCATTAGGGCAAGTGTTTTATGAGGAAAACAAAATATTTAGAGAAAAAAATGTTAGCCAAGAAAAATTAATATAACAATGAAAATTATACCAAATTTGCTTATGAGATCAAGAGAAAACAAGTTGGATTTCATCAAAATTAAAAAACTTGTACTTCAAAGGATATCATCAGAAAGGGAAAAGACAATTCACAAAATGGGAGAAAATTGCAAATTGCAAATTGTATTTCTGGAAAGGAATCATAAGAGTCTTAATACTCACCAATAAAAAGATAAATTGCCCAGTTAGTTTAGTGACTGTGAACGTACTAAAAACTAAAGTATTGTATACTTTAATAATGAATTTTATGCTATATGAATCAGATCTCAAAAAAGATATTATAAAAATTACCTACAGGCAAAAATAGTGAATCTGAATAAAATTTATCCAGTGTCATAAAACAGTCATACCTTGTAGTATTGACTAGGGATAAAGAGACCAGGAATCATAAGCCCTGGTCCTGCAGTTTGTTTTGGGGACATCACTGTGATGAGTTAGTCTTTCTTGGCAGTTTTCTAGGGCCAGAGCTAAGGTGAATATACTATCCAATTTGCCTAGGACATTTTCAGCTCATACCTGTTGTCTCAGTTAATTATTAAAATTGCTCAATTTCATACTCAAAAATGCCCCCATTTATATGATAAACTGTATGTTTACGCTCACCAGAACATGCTGAACAAAATACATAGAGTTTTGGAAAGGGCGCACTTAACCAAAGCAACAGTTGTTTGTACCTTTTCATAGAGAGTTGCTCTTTAAGGTTCTTGATTTCATTGTCTTTAGCATGGCTTTGACGCTGTAATCTATGAAAAAAAGTCATATAGTGTTAGAAATTGTATGTTATTAATAAGTCAGAATAGCGCATTGTATTTGAGTTTATCCACTAAGAAACAGAAATGGTGTCTTCTGACTTTCTAGGCCTGTGATGGGATTGACAACTTTAAGTTCCTTAAATAGAAATTATAGCAAGTCATGAAAACTACTAAAAACGATGTCTGGAAGAAATCAGACCTTAAGAATAAAGTAATGAGGCTGCATTCAAATAAAAATTTTAATTAAAGCCATCATTAAGTGAGGCATCACTCATATGACCCAATCATGGGGAGATTGGGTTAAAATTTTATATAAATCAGGTAACATAACCTCAATTAGCTTAAAATTAATATGCAGAAGCTATTAGAGAAATACAAACTAATACTTTTTGGTTGACATATAGTCACATAACATTTTTATATTCTTCCCTTGTGTCTACATTTCTCTTCACAACCAAACTTTTACATTAACTTATTCATTTTATTCAATACGAAGAAATTTACAGCAAAAGCACATTTCTCAGTCACTTGGAATACATCTTGGTTGACATAAATTATTGGAATGATAAATCCTTAAAACAATAAAACAATGACCTCAAGTGCTGTCTGGAGTGCTCATTACTAAATCTTAAAGATTCCTACTCAACTCAACTCAACTCTATTCATCCTAGAAGCTGTAGATATACTCAATGTTCTACTGAACTGAAAATGCAATGAAAAAAACTAGGACTTTTTCTATACAAAAGAGGCCACGTGTTTAAGTAAGAAATAAAAAAATATAAGCTTTATCACTATGGTATATTAGAAGGAATATAGAGGTAGAGTAGAAATAAGATTTCTAAGAAGTTCTAGTGTAGAGTAGGTGGTAACAGTTGACAGAGCTAGGGAGAATTTACAAGACCTAGATTCTTAAATAACAGACAATAAAGTAGGCATTATTTCTATTATCCAGCTTGGACATGAACCAGCTATGTACATTCAAGTACTCATAACTTATTTCTCCCTGCTATAGCCACATCTACTTTCCTCTTGTTCCACGTCTTCCTTATAACTTTGGGAGCACTAATCTCATTTCCACTTTTATCATTTCATTATTTCAAGGATATTATAGAGGTATAATCATACAGTTATTAAGTTTTGGATATTGGTTTTACTCTACAATTTCTGATGTAAACACTGTTTACATATATTACAGTTGCATTTCTGATAAGATAATGATCATTTGTGGCTTTTTGGGTTAGTTTTGATAGAGGTTTATGAATTTCATTGATCTTTTCAAAGAAACTATTTCCCTGATTTTTTTCCTTGCGTTTCTTTCCAACATCAGTATTTCTGATCTCTATTTCCTTTTTCATTTTGCTTTTTCTTCTATGTCCTTGAAGCAGGAGCTTACATTGAAATTTTCACCTTATCAAATGTGTACATTCAGTATTATAAATCTGCTAAGAACTGCTTTAACTATGTTACACAAATTTTATTTTCATGTTAATTCAATATTTTTAATGTATATAGCTTGAATATATATTGTTCAATATATACTTTTTTTGACAAAGACCTTGTCTTTGACCCATGCATTACTTACAAGTGTGCTGTATAGTTTCCAAATATTTGGAGACGTTCCTGTTATTTTTCTACTAATGATTTCTAGTTTGATTTGATTCCACTGTTATCTGAGTACACTTGGCATAATTTTGATTTTTTAAGTTTTCTGAGATTTGTTTTATGGTTCAGGATAAGGTCTATTTTAGTATATTTCCTTTGGATGCTTGAAAGCATATGTATTCTACTGTTGTCTCATGGAGTGATCTATAAATATTGATTAGATCTGGCTGGTTGATGATGTTGTACAGGTCTTCTATATCCTTGCTGACTTTGTATGTATTATTTCTATAAATTGCTGAGAAAAGGATGCTGAAGTTTATAAAATAGCTGTAGAATTTTCTGTTTCTCCTTTGAGTTCTATCAGGTTTTTGCTTCATGTATTTTGAGGCTCTGTTCTTTGACTTTACATCTTTATGGTCTTGTCTTCTTGATGAACTGAGCCTTTCATCATTATGTAATGTCCCTCTTTGTCTGCAATAGTTTTCTTTGCTCTGAAGTCCATTTCATCAGATAAAAATATACTCATTCCTGCTTTTTTGATTAGCATTTATATGGTTTATATTTTACTATTCTACTTTCAACCTACTTATATTGTTGAAATTTAAAAGTATATTTAAGGTAAATTTCTTATAATAGTACATACTGGTGGATACATTTAGTTTTGTTTTGAAAATTTGCTTTCCAGTCGTTCTTGATTGGTATGTTTTGTCATTTGCATTTACAGTAATTATTGATATGTTGGGGCTTATTTTTTCATGTTATTTGTTTTGTATTTGTCTTCTCCGGTTCTCTTTTCTTAAGGTTATTTAAACATTGTTACTTATTTACAGTGTTTTAAAGTCATATCTTTGTGGAGTTTCTCAGTAACTTCACTAAATATTACAACAGACATTAAAAGTCTACCAGTATTAATTCTTTATACTTAAATTGAAATCTCATTTTTATCCTCTATACTTTTAAATATAATTATTCCATTTCCTCCATATACAATGAATTCCATGAGATAGTGTTTTTATTTCTAACGTCAAATATGATTTATAAGTTAACAAGAGATAGGACAACCTGTTGGTGTTTCTTCTAATTACTATGCCTCTTTTTATTCACTGTAACATTCCAAGCTTTTATTATCATTTCCTTTATGGTTAGATATCTTCTCTTAGCCATTGTTCGATGGCAGGTTTACTAATAACAAACTCTTGTACTTTTCATTTGCTTGGGATTGTCTTTATTTCCCTCCTTTTTTTAAGAATATCTTTGCTGAATATAAGATTCCAGATTCTGTTTTGTTTCACTTCTTTCATCCAGTACTTGAATAATGAGCCACTTCTTTCTGGCCTCCATAATTTTTTCAGGTGAGAAATCTAATATCATTTGAATTAGTGTTTCCAAGATTTTTTTTTGTCTTTGAATTTTCAGAAGTTCACTTCTGATGTGTCTTTGCATGGATTTTTTTTGGGTTTAAATCATTTGGAATTCAGTCAGCTTCTTGAATTTGAAAATTTCCCTATGCTGTCACTTGATAGTTTCTTAAGAGAGCTTTAACTTTGATAATACTTAATTTTTCTTTAATGATTGAGTGACTGTTACCAGTTCTCACTTTGTATTTTCTACATGTGCCTTATACAATTCTACTCACTCTGTGACACTTGGTAAATATCTGGTGAATGCTCAACACTGAATGTTCATCATGTGAAGACACGTCCATTCCATAAAGTGGCCTGTTTGTAGTCTCAAGCATACAAGTATACCTGAGTGAGATGTCAAGAATTGAAAAGGGATATTCACAGATCCTGAAGGAGACAGAAGGCTCACATACAAGGATACCATTACTTTTCTGATCTCTGATAACAGTTTTGATTGATGGTCATCTTCCAGGCTAAATCCTGAAGCACAGGTTCTTAAGTGACTTCAGCCAATTTAGTGTGACCAAGCTCCCTTAGGTTTTAACCTGTTTCTGAATTTAAAGATCCTAATTCCAGCAGGTAAAAGCCTGAAAGTGTTTGCAACTGTTATGTTGCCAAAACCCCTTCCCTCCATATACTGAAGGTGAGATTGGTAGAGGTGGGGAATAACTCTAGGAATATACTTTCAATACCTTAATCTTAGAACACAAATATACTGAGATTAACATAAAAAGCATTTAAGAGATTCCGTGCTATCTTTGAGGAACAGATTCCTCATTTGCTAAAAAGAACCATTCATTCACTGTTCATGTTTTTATAACCTATAAGTCATGACCCAAAAGTTAATTATCGTTTTTTCAGGAAATTCTATTATTGTTACATGTGTTCAGCCAATACATGAAAAGCTTGGTAAAATAGAGTGGTGAGTCAAAATACAGCAGGTTTTAAAACAAGTGCATCTTGTGGTGTGCCGTTCCTAATGCATAGTCTTAATGCCACCTAGTGGCTATTGAAGGAATATCCTTCTAAAATTGTGCTCATTATGGAACAAACTCAGAATTTCCTATTGCCAGTTTTACACTTACTTGGAAACCTTATTGATTCCAAAAGCTACTTGTTGGTTAAGTGATGCAATGATTTTTTCTTTCTTTTTAATCTGCATTTGGTTTTCTTGCCACCGAAAAGTCACCGTTTTCAATTGTCTTTTGTAATCCTGATCAATAAAAAATATTTTCCATTAATTCTGTTCATCACCAGATATTGAAAAAAAAATTGAATTCTTTTTTTGAAAAAGAATTACGTTTAACATTTGAACTACCTCTCATTTGCCTCCGACCAAAAACACTTACTTCACACCGATAATGCAATTTGTAAAGCTGCCGTTGTCGATCAAGCTTTTCCTTCTCAGTTTCTCCATATTCTGTAGTTACTTTGCTGCTTGAGCCCTAGTGGGCAAATGGAATATGCATGCTTATTTTCCTCAAAATAAAAACTAATATTTTAGTTATTTAAAGTTGTCCTAATCATGCTTTATGTCTCAATGCAAACATTACTTCTCTGATTTGTTTACTTAACCCCACCTTTTCCCCATTAAAGCACTCAGTGGGCAATACCAGTCATGCCTATTGCTGCTACAGCTTAACAGCATTACCTGCATGCTTTCCATTTTCTAATTTTTTTTTTTACTGGTAATGATTTTATTTTCATTAAGAAATATATAAGGTAAACACTCATTAATGCCATTTTAGAAATAATAAAACTGACTAACTTGCCCAAGTTCACCCAGCAGTAAGTAGAGGATTTTGAATATATATATATAAATTTTTAGGGGTTTTCATTTTTATTGCGGTAACATTGATTTACAACTTTGATTTTGTTTTAGTGATCTAGGATCTCCACACCACCACCAGCCCCCCCACCCCCAACCCTGTCAGGTTTGTTACCATGCCACAAGCACCATCCAAGTACCAGTGGTCCTCTACCCACAGTCCACTGAGGCAAGGAGCCTAGATTCTAACTTAGGCAATCTTAATTACCCAAAACACTTATCATCACACTGTATCACTTAAGTTTAATGTCCAGTTTCTCCACTGGATTGTAAATACTATAATTATAGGGAGCATGTCTTAGCATAGGTCTTGACACAAAGCAGATATTAATTACATATCTTTTGAATAAATGAATAAATAAGCATGTCTCAAAAGGTATACAATATTCTGATTCCACTTTTGAATTCTTAATAGTCTCATGGTCACTGAATTAAAACCTAAGGCACCACATTTAAATTTCAGTGGGACATCCTGGGATAAGAATAAGTCATTTCTGTTAACATTATATATACACATATAGGTAGATAGAGTTTAATATAACTGGAAGGGAGGAAAAATGACAATTATATGAATGTTGTGCTGTCAGGTGGGCAATGATTTACACTAACTCCACCCTTAGGTGATATTACTACATACAATTATATTTATTTATTTAAGATTAATTTATTTATGTTTACAGAACTGGGGTACGTGCCAGAGGTGTGGTGGGTGAGGGGATTCACCAGAGACATTGTGGGGAGCACAACAGGCAGACCCATCAAAATACACTGCTGAGGGGAGCAGTGGATGATACAGGAGAAATCTGCCACGCCATGTGGTTCAGCTCCCTTGGCTGGGGATTGAATTTGTGCTGCAGTGGCTTCAGAGAGCTTCATAGTGTGGTGCTTTATTTTAATCCATTGCACCACCAGGGAGAGCCCCATACAATTATATTTAAACCATGTAACAGGTCATAAAATTACCTCACGTATAGAGACTCATAAGTAGGTAAATCAAGTGGCTTAACATTTTTTTATATGCTTGTTTGATTACGTGCTTTGTTGAGCACTTAAATCATGTCCCTATGAATCTTCATATAAAGGTATGTCTTTCTCAGCAATGACTACTGCTAGGAAAGGAACCAAAATAAAAAAAATTATTATACATTAATATTTATTTATAAAAACTTCATGGTAATAACCAGATTTCATTTTTTAAAAATGGAATATACAACTAATTTTCTCATGAAATTTAATAATGAGATTATGCCAGGTTATTTTTTTTTCTTGTGATACCTGAAAACTCTTTTCAAGAAATGCATTTATAGTCAACTCTGCCCAATAGTGAAAGCCAGGAAATAGTTTGAGGACTAAAGTGAAATGAAAGTTTCATTTCCTAGGTTATTTCCCCTCTTATTTATCCAACTGTCCCCTCCCTTCTTTGTTTTCTCTTTCTTAAAAGAGTAAGTCACTAGGGTAACATGCTTTTAAAGGTAGGGAAAACACAGGTTAACAACTGTTTTAAAAGTAGGCATGCAGGGCTGTACCCACCAACCAGTTAGGCTTACCTGCTCTAACATGTCCAGAATATGCAATTCATCCAGACTATAGAGCTTGTCTTCAGGTGCAGAATCTTCCTGAATATCACTTGCATCATCATTCATAAATCTGTTGACTGTGTACTGGTTTGCTTGCTCTTTCTTCAGCTGTTCTTCCTTTCCTACTGTATGTGGGCTACAGTGATGACATAGCCAATGTAATCTTTTATAATTGTACAGTGATTTACATCTAAGTCATTGTTTCATTAACTAACATCGTAACAGTCTCACAAGATGCTTATCACCAGATGGGTTCATGTGCAAAGAAAGTTTGATAATGCTCATACTATTGCTCTTAAAGGTTCACAATGAATTTTGGCATATTTGAGGTAGTCAATCAAAATTATCTCCTCATCTCAATGTTTTCAAGAATTATGAGGCCAAATTTTATTAATATGTTACTTTGGGAAATGATTACAAATATTTCTACATCTGTAATATTATATTACTACAACATTCTTGGCAGGTAGGTTGATTTAACTTCTGGGCGTATAGTCAGTGTACATTTAAATAGAGGGCTGCAAATAGCAACATGAAGTAGATTTTAAAATGGAGACTTTTTTAAAGCTGGACTTTAATAAATACTTTAGTGATAACATGAACTTTAGTAACTCAGAACCACACACAAGAAGAATGAAATTAGTACTCATACAATGACAACTAACCCATCTTTATCATACTATGTCTAAAATTTAAATACGTGTTTCTATCTTTTTAGTTGCCCTACTGTTTAGTAGCTCCAAGTTTCCTTTCCAATCTCTTAGAATGGTAAAAGGTAATAGTACTTTTATTTACAGCATGACATAATGACTTCATTTTATTAGTAAATAGAAAGATAACGTAACTCTAGGATGTATTATTATGCCACTGAAACCTATACAAAATAACGTCTAGTGTTGGTGGAATAACTTGAAAATTATTCTAGAATGAGCCAAACATTTCGGAAAGTTTAGTGTGAGATCAACTTCTTGCATATGTCACTGGTTCATAAACCTAATAAATTTTCCAAATTAACTGAATAATTTTTTAATGACATTTTCCTGTTACCATAACAATTTAAAAATTATAGATGAACTTTTATTTTTGAGATGCTCCAGGTTATTCCCAAAATTTTAAATTAGTATAACAACATGGAGAGAATATATAAAAATGTTCATATTATTGAGGGGTGCAAGTAAGCATATGGAGATGCAATTAGATCTGTCTGGGATTGAATATACTTCAACAAAGAACAAAATGTTAAGGGAAGAAAAAGGCAAATGTAGAGTAAAAGTGATAATTGTTGATTTAGGATAAATATATATTACATATATAATAGATATAAATTAATGTAGATATTTGCTTTTCTTCTGTTAGATTTGAATATTCTCATTTAAAAACAAAGCTACTGGGTGATTTTATGGTAACCTAGTTGTGTCTGCATTGTTTGCATAATTAACAAAAAGATGATAACTCTGTTTCATTCTTTAGTGAGTTTTTTTTATGGCATGAACACACAGCCTGAAAACAAACAATTAGTTGAGAGGCTCAGTTTGCTCACAGAGAGAGTGAAAGCCCATCTTTGGATGATGAACTATTTACTCCTTAAGTAGATTGAGTCTGCTATTAAATAAAAATATCAACGCTAAGTGATGTTTTGCTAATAATACATGTTCTTGTTACCATTTTTAATGCATCTTTAAGAAATTAAAAGGTTTCCATTAAGTTTAAAAATACTACTAACAACTGAGATTGAAAAAGAAAAACTCTCAATTAACCAAACTAATCAAAACAAACTTTTGTAAAAGAGATCACTGGGACAAAAAGGATCTTCCCTTAAAGGTTAAATCTTATATGGTCTAGATTGGCTAACCATAATCTACAGTATATTTTTAAAGATTTTAAACTAGACTCAAACTGGTCCTTGAGAAATGCAGTTAGAATGAGATGGCTCTTGAGTAAACTTACAGGAAATGGAAAGAAATTCTATTCCCCCACAGTAAATGTTAATTTAACTCTTTGTCACTTAATGTAAAAAGGTGGCAATTTATAAAGACAAGAAACCATCTTTCCTCCCCATAAAGTTACAGCTGTTTCACAATGGCAAAGCACACTTTTCAATTTATTACAGAAATTAAAATATTAATACTCACATTTGATCTTCTGCTGAATCTTTATTCTGAGAGAAAAAAACAGCACCACAAATTAGTGATCTAATGGCAACACAGCACAGTGACCTGACTGTATTTAGGCCAATGTTTTTCAAACTTTTTGACTATAACCCAAGTATGAAATATATTTTGTATCATGATATAAATGTACTCACATATATAAAGTATGTATCTTTACAAATAAATATATATTGGAAATAGAAGTTCCAAAAACTAGGCCGTACCCAACCCAAATCATCTGTGTATGGACTGCATGTTTGTGTACCCTCCCGAAATGCTTATGTTGAAATCCTAACCCAATGTGATGGCAATTAGAAGGACAGTTGGGAGGTTAAATTATGTTTAGATGATGTTGTGGAGTCCTCATGATGAGATTAGTGTGCTCTTTCTCTGTCTCTCTCTCTCCCCATCTTGTGATGATACAGCAAGAAGGTAGTCTGTTAACTAAGAAGCAGGTCCTCACCAGACACAAAATCTGTTGGCACCTTGATCTTGGACTTTCCAGCCTCCAGAACTGTGAAAAATAAATGTTTTTTGTTTAAGCCACCCAGTCTATAGTAGCTTGTCACAGCAGCCCAAATAGAGTAAGACAATATGTTGTGAACTCTGGATATTTTTTATTCCTACTAATTCTATTTCCTTATTAAAATGGGAGTGTGACCCCATAAGTATACTTCTGAGTCATGAAACAAAATTTGAAAATCAATTCAGATACTCAAAGTTAGTACAGGGCTTTGTGAACCTAGATCTATCTTGGGACAAGGTATAGTCATACTTATTTAGGGAATCCTATACTAAGTACAAGAGTTCTTAAAAGACCTGCATATAAGGAAAAAGTAGATTTAAATATTAAGAATGTGACAGAAAAAAAACAATTGTTAGAGGAATGACAAGTGGAAGAAAATTTCAAGAAGCCCTATCTATTTTGTTCATTAAAATATGTGGATACCATGCTACATAAAGGTACATTTAACATATACTAAGTATATTAATTACTTGTGTAAATTATAGCATTAATTTCTACTACCACCTCTTATTTATAAAAAATTCCAGGTCTCATTCCCCACAGATTACCTGATGTAATTACAGATTCACTTTGCATTTTTGTCTATATACTAAAAATTTTGAATTTCAGTGTCTGATTAATACTTAGTGCCAAGTTAATTCTATAAATTAGAATCAACTCTGCCTTGGTTCTTGAATAAGTTGTATAACTATGCATAAGGAACATAATTAGTGTAATTAAGGATTTCTGAAACTTTTTTTAGCTCTTCACACAACAATGTCATGCCATATATTTATAAACTTTTCTTGCATCTCAGTAACTTTCCTTCTATAGAAAGAATATCCAATTCGAAGATTTAAGTTTATTTTCTGCCATGTTTCTTTCTCTCCCAACACGTCATAAATAGGCTCTGTCATTTTCTTTACCTCACTTTTTTATTTCTTTTTTTTCCCTTAGGAGAAATTCTGATAAGAATATTGGCAGTGTTCTCTACCTGCAATTCACTGGATCTTGTAAACCCAGGTTAGAAGTAATCATAAAATTTACTTTTGTCTTTTTAATTACAAACCCACTTGGTTTAAATCAAAGAATTAGCATGTCTCAGAAATCTCAATTAAATGAGGTCTCATAAATATTTATTAAGCTCCTCTTACTGTTAATTCTTTGTTAAGATTCCATAAACCAAGATGGTCATATCCTGGATACTATTATTGTATATATATTTCTTCTTCCTCCCACCAAACCAACTGTATCTATAGCCCATCTATGTGGGGTACAACAATATGGAGTGTTATTAGCATATGAATTTTTGAGTGATGTTTACATTTATTTCCAGTTGTGTTTATCCCATTTAATTTTTTTTTTAAAGATTTATTTATTTGTGCATACAGAACTGGGGTACAGGCCAGAGGCTCAGGGGCGACGAGAGGCTTCACCAGAGACAGAGTAGGGAACAGAACAGGCAGATCGACGAAGTACACTGCTGAGGGGAGCAGCGGGCGGGTCAGGAGAGGTCTGCCA